GCAGAAAATTTTTGAATGTTATCAAGTCATCATATTGAAAAACTTATAAAACACTCCCAAATCTGAAACAATAAAATGGTAATTTTTCTAAGCAAATCACAGATTCAATTTTGCTAGATTTCTTGCTTCAGTACATTTTCTTCATTTTTATGTAGTAAAAATATATATTCACAGGAAATTAAAAAAAAAAAGTAAACAAAAAGTTGGAAAAATATATAGAAATATTTATGATACATACTAAAACTTATACAACTATCAACCAGACAGCAGTGATAAGACTAAAAAGTTAGAAAAAAAAATTATCATAAATGGGTCCTGTATTATCTAAATTACAACAGTAAGTCTTGATAGACCCACAGTAATATAAAAATGAAAATTAAATTTAGATAGGTTTAGTTAATATTACTTGCATAAGATGGGAAAATCTAAATGGCTTTTTTTTATATGGAATACAAAAATAGTGACAAGTTTTATAATTTCTTATTGTTTTTTTTAAATATCACTTACACAAAATCCTCTGAAATACTAAAATTGATTTTTCATTAATTATATTGGGCAATACATTATAAATTGCCTTATTTTTGCAATAGCTGTTTTAAATTGAATATACTAATATCTATTTATCTCATGCAAAAAGAAAAAGGATTTTTTTTTTTTTTTTAATTAAAAATACTGTTAAATAATTTTAAGTTTTTCTAGCATATATTTTTAATTTGTTCATTCCAAAGTATCTCACCTGAAGTTAAAATTGAATAGGACAAAATAATTCAATTGGTCAAACATGTTTTACTGTAAAATACAAGTATTGTTTTTTATAATGATTATAAAATAGTATTATATGAATATAGATACCTACTACTACTAGACATGACATTGTTAATAACAAAAAGGCATTTAAGTGAACACACTCGGAGCAATATAAAAATAATAGTAAACATGTCATACTCAAGCCAACAACTGATCACTTTTCAAGCATATATTTGATCATAGCAACAGCTAGACTTGCCAATGACCAAAGAATAAAACAGCATTTTCAGAACGAGAGCTTAATTTACTAACTGACCAGGTAAGTTAAACCATGGTTCAGAAGCAGTTGTACTTATGGCAGAGTCAGAAAAGATAACAAAGAAAAACGGGATCAACATAGAGACAAGTGGGTAAGAAAAGGGGGTCTTCTTCATGCAGCAGCATAATTATAAAATGCTGGTCAGAAGGCCACGTGTTGAAAACAATATTTCTTTTTTGTTTATAACATTCTAAAGGGTAAGTTACTCATAGTGTTCTATAATAAATATGACTGAAATTCTTGTAACAATTTTTGAAAATTTTTTTTTTTTTTTTTTTTTAATAAAACAATATTTGCTGTTGTTCCCTCAAAATGGAAGGCTGAGTTTTTTTGTTTCCTCATTCCAAAAGAGAGATTTTTTTTTTTTTTTTTTTGATTTCTAATGTCCAGCAAAAGGATTTTTTGGGTGGGGTTTCAAACCAGCAGAAAAAAGTAGCAAATCCATGAGAGAATTTTCTATTGCATCCTTTTTAAAAAAAAAAAAAAAAAAAAAAAAAAAAAAAAATCTTTATATATATATATATATATATATATATATATATATATAGAGAGAGAGATAAATAATACAAAACTGAAATTAATCTCAGAAATCTACATAAAAGAATCTGAGGAAATATTTTCATTTTTATAAAAGAAAAGGTCTCGATTAACAAAATTCCACAGAATGAAAACCAGATCAAGGAGTAAAAACAAATTGGGCTTGGTAAATATAAGAATGTTTAGAAAATAAAATCATGAAAATTTTTAAAAAAAACTTAAAATGATTCTTCAAAATCTTATTAGTTTTGATTTATAATAAATAAAAAAAAAATCCAGAAAATGTCAAAAATTTAAAGTTTCTTACTTTTTCAATATGCAGTAACTATTTTTTTTAAACTGCTAAAAACGTTTTGTTAGAAAAAGTAAAACATTTTATAGAGAAAACATTTTATAGAGAAAACATTTTTTGTTTAAAAATTTAAGGATAGAAGAGGAACAGAAGCAATATTTTGTGATTACTTTCTGTGCAAACGTAAAATTTTGCACAAAGTAAAAAAAAATACTATATCTACTTATGTTCTTCAAAATCAAAAAATCTTTATCATTTTGTGATTTAACATAACATTATTAAATTCATCAATGCTAAAAACTAACTGAATCTGGAAATCTCTGAAGAATGGTTTGTCATCAAGACTATCCTTTTAGGAAATTAATATTAAAAAATGAAGCACGACAAGGAATCAGTTTGCCACTAATTTCAAAACACTATGAAATGTATGCAAGTGTATGTGCATATACATGACTGCAAATATGTAGCTGCAAACATATGCATATACACACATGCATACACACAAAAACAAAAAAAAAGATATTTCCAGCAAGGTTTGTTGATATCTACATTTCTTTTGAAATATCTTCAACAAATAACATTTTAAATATTTTAGCATATTTCAATTTGACTTTGAGAGATCATCATCCTGGACACTCCCAAGGAGTCATTGATTCTCCAAAAAGCAGAAAAAAAAAAGTTCTTTAATTAATTCACTCATTATTGGGAAAGATTTAATAATTAGACAAAGTCAAAAGTAAACAAAATAATACAATCATATACATTACTATTCAGACCCATATGCTCATAATGGTTATAACAAATGTTTTGACCACTGTACCCTCTGACCTTCTTCAGGTATCTGTTATATTTGGTAACCTTCAAGATTTTGAAGCAAACCCTTTATTCAAGTTACATCTTTGTGTTGCTTGTCCGTCTTTTTTCCACTGAATCAGAGTATATGACTTTTCATCACTACCTGATCCAGGTATCGAACTTACGACTGCTAGAAAACCACATATGCATTAACCAACTATGTGTTTCTCAAACAAGAAATAGATTAGAGAGAATTAAATGAAATGAATTATTTCCCCTATGCAAGGAAAGGAGAATGGGAACAATCTACCCATGCAGATTGAATAAAGTGTTCAGCTTAAAATTAAAAAAAAAAAAAAAAAATATGATGAGACACCTGAAGAAGGTCGGAGAGTATAGTGGGCAAAACATTAGTCTAACAACCAAACTGAGCATGCTGGTTTAAACAAATAGCAAGTCATATAATAATAATTCCTCATTTCAATAATTATGATGACAGGATCTTAGAAATCTTGCCCAGATAACTAAAAAAGATCAATGAAAAAGAGTAATTTTTACATGAGGGGGGGGGTGCAAACAGTTCTAAAATCACCAGAACTATATCCAATACAAAGCAAATGTTAACACCATTAGACTAACATTATTGAACAGTTATTTAATTATAGTGGTACTAAAGATGTCTAGTTTAGGGTTACTGTAAAATTGGTCGCTAATGCAAGGTTAGAATATCTTTCAGATATAGCAACAGAAAGAAGCCACACTTGGAACAACTATTGGGTGAACAGAGAGGAGGGGAGGAAAAGAAAATGGGTGAGTGAAACAAATTTAAACAATACTGAATGACCAAATTAACAGGGCCAGCAGAGAAGCCTGCAGATGCAACATAAATGAATGTAGGGAATGATCAGAAAAAAAAAAAAAACTTCTCTATCAATGAAATAAAGAAAATATTAATTATTTTTAAAGAAAAAAGTCTCATCAGGCATTTTACTTTACAGAAATAAAATTTTAGGATTTCTTACATTGCCCTTCGATTCAAAAATGTTGCTTTATAAGAGAGGAAAAAAAATAGACATGTTTGTTTAAATATCAAAATAAAAATTTGAATTTCTATATCAATGCATGGTTGATAACCTTCAACATCTACAAAAAGACCAACATATGCTGTCTTTATATAGTGTAATGGTTTAAACTACACAATCATGATTAGAATTTAGTTTACATGAAAAGCAAGCAGGAATATAAACCAGTGCTGAAAGCAGTAAGCTATCTAATTGTAATAAAAACACAAAATATGCAGATCAATACATGCAGATTTAAAAGATTTATATCAACTTAAAAAGATTTGATTTCCAGTGCTTGGTGGTGGTGGGGGGGGGAGAAAGACAAGAATCTTTTAGACTTATGATCTAATATTAGAAAAAGAAGAATATATATTATTAGTGATGATGGGACAGGAGCCAAGCTTATCATAAAAAAGATTACAAGCCTGCTATTTTAAGTAATAGCAACAAAGCAAAATTCACAAACTTTACTTAGCAAAATGTTCTTCTGTAAACAGAATCCAACCAACAACAATTCTAATTATACTTAATGCATAAGTGTGAAAATTATACAGCTAAATCTTTTTTTTTTTCTCTCCAGTGTTTTATTAAAAGCTATTTATATATTGTGAATACAACATTGAGGCAAAAAATCCAAGTGGACTGAAATGCCTAAAGCTTATGCACTGTCTATCCTATATCCCACTGAAATAATAATCAGAAAAGAAAATTTTTCAGCCTTTTTTTATGTTGTAACCACTTCTTAAAACACCATTTCAAACAGTCTAACATATTTTATAAATAATGGTACTTGAAAAATTATAAGTAAATATATCAGTAATTGATTCCACATTTTACAAAAATAAAGTATACTTACAAAAAAAACAAAAAAAAAACAAAAAAAACAGTAGAATAAAGATATTTATCCCTAATGTTATTTGTTAATGACAATTTTCATTTCTTATAACAGAAAATACTGATGTTGTAACCAATCTCATAGTTCTGCTATAAAAAACTATTCCATTATTGCTTTGTGTCTCTTTATTCTTTTTAGAATCATTTATAATTTTTGAATTTTCTATTAAAAATTAAAAAAGTAAAAATTAGATTCCTAAGACAATAGAACAGGAGAAAAAGATGAAGGAAAATAAATAATCTAGTCATAAGAAAAAGCAAGTGCATGGGTTATACACAAAAAAATTGTGACAGCTACAGTATTTAAAAAAAAAAAAAACAAAAAAACAAAAAATTGACCTTCAGATGAAATCTAAGATGATAGTTCAAATGAAACAGCAGTGGCAGTAGGGGAAGAAGTAGTGGATGAAACAGTTATTGTGTTTGTGGTAGTTGAGGCTGCAGACTGTAGAACATTGCCAATAGAATTGACGTTACATTCTAAAATATTGCCTTGAAGAGGAGATACTGTTTTAACACCTGTTGCTAAAGCCATGGCCACAGGTGACGAGGAGAGAACTGGGAAAACAACTAAATCTTTGTTGCTATCACAGCTGCTGCCACAGCTATCTTCCTCTTTTGCTGTCTCCTGCTCACTGCTGTCCCCATCTTCATCAATACATGTCTGAGACGCTTTCACCCAGTCTTGAATCAGTTTGTCTTTCTCCACGGTTTTCACTCTGGTCAAATTAATGGAGCTCTCCGCACAGTTAGCCGTCTTGTCAAGCTGGCCTTGCTCAGAATAGGTATCAGTGACAATGGTAGAGCTACCTTCACCAATTGTCTTGGATGAGTGGGTTGACATTACTTCACTGGTGTCTCCAATTGTGCGCACTGAATGCTGGGACAAGATCTCAGTGTTTAGCTCATATGTGGCTGAGTGGATAGAGTCAATGTGCGGGAGCTCACCCAGAGCTTCTTGGAACATGGAGTTGTTCCCAGAGCCGATGTCATCCTCTTCATCAGCACTGTCCTCTCTGTCAACATCAGCAGAAGACAAAGATTCAAGATTGACATTATTGATGCTGTTGGCTTGAACACTGGTGGCTGGGTCATTACAGTCTTCTGTGTCAGCCTCATTTCCATCATCAATATCTCCCATCATGGAGGAGACGCACGTGTTATTTAGACAAAGTGGAGAGATCTTCATCTCAGACTCACGTCCTGCAATTTCTCTCTTGGCAATTTCATTGCCCCGACTGTCAGTTTCAGGCTCTGATTGAGGGTAATTCTCCGAAATGGGCTCAGACAGAATGCTACTGGCAAAAGAGATGCCACTGCAGCCAGATGGTGTTCGTGAATGGCCCATGTGAGCAAAGATCTGGGCTGTGTTAGAATAGATCTGTGGGATGTTTTCTTGGATATCCTTTTCAATCATGGCTACCATTTCCACATATGACTGACGAGCTTTCTCTGTTAGTTCCATCAGCTTCCGGAAATTTTCCTGTAAGTGCAGAACAGTAAAGGAGAATTAAATATTGAACAGAGTGTTTTTTAAAAGAAGAATATACCAAAAATATAAAAATGAATTCCATGACCAGATAAAAATTTGTAAAATCCGTATATATATATTTCAATAAAGGTGCAATTAAATTTACAAATTCATGAATTATTCATACAAAAAACGAATACAAAGGTTAATGATTTAATTGGCGAGAAATCAATCGCCGCGAACAATTCAAATAATATACAATAACCCCGAATCTGTTTATGAATGAAAAGATCCTTGTTTCTATAAATTCTCGTTGCATGAGTTCTTATTATTTTTACAGGCTTTCGTCTGTTCATACAGACATCCTCAGGTATGGAATAGATTTTGTTCTTGTTTTTTTTCTCAGTAATCAGGTAATAAAAATATATATAATATAAAATATATATATATATATATATATATATATATCTCAGCTCTTCTATGCAACAAGATATTTTTATTATAAAAGATTATAATAAAAATGTTGAAATCTCTGCACAAAAGCTTTCAATACTTTGATTGTATTACTTAAGTCAATGGTAAGTAACTGGTGATTAAATGATTTTTAAGAAAATTTAAAAACAAAGCGTTACCTTTTTTTCTGAAAGTTAAAAGGTAGGGTGGGGACATAAGGTCAGAATTAAAAAATAGACTTGTGGGTACATCTTGATTAACCAATTAAATGTCAGATCTATGCTAAATAGAAAAGAGGGTGGAGGTGAGTGGGTTATTTTTTGATGCCATGATAAACCGGAACAGACTGGCCATCATTAACAATTGCAAAAAATATGTCAGCAATAAATGTATTGGGATTGTAGACAAATATGACGAATGTTCAATTTTTTGAAAGGGCATTGAGAGAAGGGCATTTGTTAACCAGACAAAATTAACAGGAAAAATAATTTCTTTTAATTTTTTAGATTCAGGAAGCCAGTAGATAAAATTAAATTCACCCCATCTGTTCTCTCATTTGGAGATTATCTATCTATCTATATATATGAGACACCAAATAGGTAAATATAGGAAGGTATACAATCAAGCCATCATATGTGAACAAATATAAATACACTATAGTGTAAGGAAAAAAAAACAAAAAACGTGCTCAATGTTAAATAACAGAGCTATCTCGAATTCTTAGCAATAAGGATGCCAACAAACCAAAACAGTGTAAACGCAATGTTATATGGTTTAACTCCCCCTTCAACAAAAACATTGAAACTAACATTGCAAAACTTTTGGGAATTTAAACCACAAGCACTTTAGTGATACCCCAACACTTAATAAGATCTTTCACAAAAACAACATCAAAGTTAGCTACAGTTGTGCTAAAAACATTGACCAGTATACTGCTCAGTACAACAGTTCCATTCTAAACAAGCACTTCAACAACCTTCAAAACAACATCCCCACAATAATTGCAATTGCAGAAAAAGCAAACGCTGCCCATTAAACAGTAAATGTATGTCCAAATCTTAGTTTATAAAGCTGAAATCAAACATGACAACCGATGAGATTTTACATGGGCTCTACAGAAAAAAATTGGAAATCACACTTTTACCACCACCGAATGACATAAGGCAATATCAAATATCGAAACAGCACTGCCCTTTCTAAATTTTTCTGGAAGCTAAAAAGAAGAATAAAAGCCCAATTATCACCTGGGAGTTAGTAGTGAAAGCTAAGCCCTTCAGTAGGAAAAGCAGTAAATGTAACTTATGTCTTTCTGAAAAATTAATAATCCTGAAGAATATAAAAAATCCTAATCTCAAACAAAAGAAGTGAGTTGATGAGAACCTGCCTACATAGACCCAAATTTCTACTCAAACACGTTGATCCAGATTAATATAGTCTAGCCAGACTAGGTTTCAACATATACTAGTATTGATATTAATATTTTTACTTCTTGCTACCTTTACTGTACAACTATTGTTAATATTAGACCAGAACACATTTATCATTTTCCTAATCCATTATCTTATCACTACCATTTTTAGTATATAACTTATTTTTATTGTTTTTGTCTCTTTTACCTTTAGTCTTATTATTAGAAATGTGTTTATTTACTCATATTTGCATTTATTATTTTTATTTAATTATTCATTTATTTGCCTTATTTATTTACATATTTATCTGTCTCTCATTTTATTTTACCTTATTTTATATTAATAATATTAATTATTCTATTGATTTTAAAAAAAAAAAAGATTACCCCCCTTGATTTTCTAACATTTCTTTGAGTTTACTTTTTTAACATCAGCATCTCTCTAAATTCGAATTTATATTTTTTTTATTTTCAATCTTAAATGTTAATCTGGGCCTAAATTCAAATTCAAAATTAAATTACAATTCTTTAAACACTTTAACAACAATAATATTCCAACTCAATAATACCATATCTTGCAAGAACTAAAATTTTTTTTAAAAAAACTGGTGTTAACCCAAAGTAAAAATAATTCCAGCACTTGACAATTGCTTCAGTATGAAACTCAGTATGGTCCAATTAATATAAAGTATTTTATATATATATATATATATATATATATATATATATATATATATATATACACACACACATATATAATATAAAATAGTGGTTCTCAACCAGAGTCCATGTAATATTACTTACTGGAGGTCCACACAAACAAATTGTGAGTCCATGGTAATATTTTAGTGGTCCATCGAGCAACAGTTGTTATAACTGAGAATTGAAATTTCTACAGTAATTTATGCCATATTAAAATACTAAAAAAAATAAAATACTAGAAAAACACTTATTGGATGTTTTGATTTAAAAGTTGAATAAAAACTGAGAAGGATATATAAGGGAAGTATTATAAGGAAAACTATATAAATATTATAATTTATAGTATAAATTAATTTAATACATTAGTAATAAATAATAATGTTAATTTAATACTAATATAAAATATTGAAAAAAATATTAATAATAAAATTAATATAATATGAATTATATAAGGATTATATATAAAAGAAAGCATATACATTTACTATTTCTATAATTCCTAAACTTATCTATTAGTAAAAAATAAAATAAGCTTTTTTTTTTTCTTTTTTAAAATTAAGAGTAAAAGTGGTCCATGGGTAAAAAAGGGTTTGAGAACCACTGATCTATTTGATAGATTATATAATATAGTTTTAAGATATGCTATATTTATGAGTTAAAGTGCTCAATATAAGACATATGGCCTGAAGATTTCATCTAAGCATGAAACAGATTGTTGTCACTGGGTACTGACATATATTTAAAGGTATTAATTCTTAAATTAATCTCCTTTATAAAATGGGAAGAAACCAGACTGTTATTACAAAGAAAAATTTTGATATACACAGAAGGCATCATATTTTTTTTCTTCTTTAGATGTTGACCTTTTGCTGCAGTCCCTTCTAATAACCAAACACTTCATTGAAAATTGATCATCATGATAGATACAAGCTTATATTCATAAATAAAGATAATGTAGGAAACCCTAAGAAGCTGTATCATTTTCCTTTGTTAAAAGGTTTCAGTTAACTCAGTCAGCCAGAGATAATTGTTTGGTTTGTTTTATGGCATATCAACCTCAATGATCCATTTAATACAGACAAAACTTTTATTGCTGGTAATATTTTCTTTTGTCAAAAATCTATTTCTGGTAATATTTTTCCTTCAAAAATGTATTGCTGGTAATATTTTTTTTTTTTTTTTTCAAAAATGTATTGCTAGTAATAATTTTTTTTCAAAAATGTATTGCTGGTAATAATTTTTTTTTTAGAAAGTATTTCTGGTATTAAAACCTATTTTTACACTTTCATAGTGTTTTTACACCAGTTTAGGGGTTAATTATTTGCCCATAGCTGGGACCCCTAACAGGTGCTACCACACCGGGTCAGGGTGGACTTGGTAACATCAGCAATTGAGAGGTGGTTCCACGCTCATCAAAACCTCCTAAACAGATGTAGTTTATCGTCTTACCCAGGACCCGGATGTAGTTTATCGTCATACCCAGGACGGCAGAGATATTTGTGCTATAATTATGACTGAATTGCTTTAGATAAAAAAAAAAATTCCATTGCTTAATCAAATGATACAGAAGATGATAATATCAACAATGAAAAGTCAAACTGACCTCTGATCCTTCATAATTAAAAATTCCAACAACACTGACAGGGACAAGTTTGGCACAAGCACGCCCCAAGGCTCGACGGCCCAAGGCAAATACAAAAGGAACATTCTGATCAGTGCACAGATTAAGAATGTTATTCAAGGCATCATCCAGACCACCTGAAAAGAGGACAAAAGTGTTTTATTAGTTGTTAGGGAAAACATTTTTTTTTTTTAATTAGTCCAGAAAACAAAATTATAATATCCACAGGCATTTAAATAAGTGGTTAAATTACTATAAATGCTAAATTATCAACACCTATAAAAGATCAGGTTTTGTGGGGATAACTTTCCTTGCAAGAGCAAGAACAATTATCTAAACATTTAGACTTCAAATGAAAATACATACTATATTTTGTCAAATTTGATGACTTCAAATGGTATTAAACAAGAAATGTTCATATAATTTTCAGAATATATGCATGATAAATATTCTATATGAATTTCAGTTTATATTTACATGAATTTATTTTGTGGTAAGAGATTTTTTATTATACAACTTGCTTTCTTTATCATATTCTCTCTCAATCAATCTCTCTCTCTCTCTCTCTCTCATATATACACACACACACAAACAGAAAGAGAGGGTATAACAGCAAAATTGTCCTAATTATGTAATGGGAAAATTGTTCAACTGTTAGATTAAGCTTTGAACCGTTGTATCTTAGAAATGATACAAGATATTTTACTGGAATTCTCTAAGGTTTTTAAAATACTATTGACTACTTAGAGCTAAATACATTCTTATTGTTCAAAGTTGAAATGAAGATCCCTCTTCCTGTTGTGACCTCCTGATCCAATTTTCCTCTCTACTGTTCCCACTTTTTAAAACTTATTCACCATTCTCTTGATGGTTCTTGAATGGACTTTGAAGATGAAAGCCAGGCTATGAATGTTGGTATCATTACTGAAGACTTAAATGATCATTGCTCAGTTGAGAAGACAGTAGGGCTGACACAAAATTATTTTAACCTGTTCTCTTTCTAGATGAATAACAAAGGGTTTTTCAGTGATTCTTACGACAAATGGTGTTAAGATGGCTAAATGTCCTATTTGAAAAAACCTGGAAGAAAAAAAACAAAACAAAAAAAACGTCATTAGTTTTGTGTTTTTTTTTTGTTTTCTTTTTTTAGATGTTAAACATTTTGTGGGAGAGACAATAAACCTATGTTGTTATACGATTTGGACAATTTTGCTGTTACACCTGATATACATATAGATAGAAAGATAACAGGAAAAAAAAAATGCATGACAAAAAAAAGTGGAAAAAGTTTTTGTTTGATGCATTTCATCCTTTAGGACTTCATCAGACTACACTGCACATGAAGGAGAGATGCTGGGAATTTTAAATTTAAAAATTTTTTTTTAAATATAATCTAGCTGATTTCATTTAGATTCTTTTGCTTTTTGATTCTATCACTTTTGTTCACAAAGAAAGAAACTGCAGTGTATTAAAAAAAAAAAAAAATTAAAAAAAAATAAAAATAAAAACGGCAACAACAACAGATGAAATGGCCATTTTTAATTTTTTTGACAGATTGTAAACAAAACAATTCTTGGTTTTAAAAATCTAGAAAAAAATAAACCCTGCTTTTAACAAATAAAAATTTGTTTTCTAGAAAAGGTGGTGGTGGTGTGTGTGTGTTGTTTGAAACAGATGTTAAAAAAATATTTTTACCAAGATTTTCTAAAAATAATTTCAAAAATATATTCATTCATTTGTGAATAAGCCCTGAAAGTTTCATTAAAATCCAACAATTATTTGATTTTTGGAAGAGTCTCAAATTTAATGTTATTTTACAAGATTTTTTAACACAAATTTCGAACATGTTAGAAAAGAGTAAAAATTTTTAAAAATAATTAAAAATACTTTGGTCTTTCCTCTTAGTAATAACAAGCATTTTGATGATAAAAATTTGTTTTTATTAACTTTGGGACATTTTTTCATCATGGTATGCCCTTTTTCAGCGATTTATTGGAGGTACCTACTTTTGTTAGTAGACATCCCACATTGTGGTAATAGAAGATCTGCCAGGAATGGTGAAATGTTGTAAGAGCCAGGACACCAATTTACTGTGGATGACTTTGTGATCAAGACACTCTCTAAACATTTTTGTTGTAGTGAATTCTTTTCTCCTTTGATCAGAGTAACATTTTATGTCAAAATTGTGGTCTTGCTACAGTGAACAAAATCAATACTGTTGTGACCTTGTCATCAATCTGTTATGTGATATGAACTAATCTTAATGACAGACAGGGTCTTAACTCTAATAAAGTATCATTCACGAATTATGCAAAAATGGCTTCTTGTGGTCGAATAATGCTGCTTTTAAAAGTGTGTTTAATATGATTTGTAATGTAAAAAAATGAAATGATAACAACATAGATGTACTATGAAAGTAGAATGAAATTTATTAATACATACAGATGAATGTTGACTTAGTTGGATTCAGCATGGATTGAAATTATGTGATTGTATGGTAGTTCAGTTCACCATGTTCAAGAAAGAGAGCAGACAAACTTTCTAACATTTGGAGATTAGAAATTTCCTAATGAAAGTAACTCCTGTTGATATTGAAGTTCACTAATTATATGTTTTTTACTTTAGAGTTTACCCTAACAAATATAATAAATATCAATTTCTTTTTTTTACTTTCAGATATACCCAAGGTTGTAAGATATAACCTTAAAAGTATATATAGTTAAGGAGTGATGGGAGCAATTTTGAAAATCATGAAAAAGTTGAACACAGAACAATCAAAAACAAAAATTAATGGCAAAATAAGAGCAAGAAACAGACTTTAAAAATGACACAAAAAGAGAGCTGAGAAAACTTAAAAGAGTATTATGCAAGGAAAGTGGAGTAAGCAACAAAATATTTGAAAAATCTGATGTTACAAAAGTAAACAGAGAAAAAAAAGGCAGAATCTTAAAAAGATTGGTTAACAACATGAAATCAACTAAACTACCACCTTAAAACATCAGTAAAACATAGAAAGATAAACATCAAACATCACAAAGAGAAAGATCAGTTGAGCAAAAAAAGTACATTAAAACTAATTTCTCAACAGTAATTTTTGCTGATGAATAAAGAGCTAATTTTTGCTGATGAATAAAGAGCTAATTTTTGCTGATGAATATAGAGCTAATTTTTGCTGATGAATATAGAGCTAATTTTTGCTGATGAATATAGAGCTAATTTTTGCTGATGAATATAGAGCTAATTTTTGCTGATGAATATAGAGCTACACAAGATAGACCTGATGGCTTCACAATAATTTGAGCCTTCATGAAAATAGTCAACCAACATGATTTCAAAGACAATACAGAAGAGGTGGAGTAATGTTTTGAGTTAGCATTATAGGCAGTAAAATTATAAGTTGTTTCAAAGTTAATGGTGTTATGATAAATACACAGAATTAAATTATTAAACTCTTGTGCAAGATATTTTTGTGATACAGGTCAAGCTTTAAGATAAAGAATATATTCTGGCAAGACAATAGTCTTTAACATTCTACAAAGCTGAATATTGCCCACCTAACCAAAAAATCTTTGAAAAATCCAAATAATGAAATGGGCCACCAGTCACTTTAGAGATCTAGTGGTCTATCATTAAAAATTATATATATATATATATATATATATATATATAAAAATGGAAACAATATACAAGCAAAGACCCGTGGAAAACAATTAAAAAATGCCGCAACTAATGTTAAAATTGAAATTGTAGAAAGGTTAAAAATAATACTTAAAAAATCTGATGAAGATTATAGAACAGCTGTCAAGGAGCCCATATTAACATGGATAATAATATTTATTCAGTAATATGGGATACTGTGTCAGAAGATAATGCCTTAGTAGCAATTGATTAAATCACATCTCCAGAAAAATATGTTGCATTTTGTATGCATAATAAAACTTGACACCATGCAAACATGTTATCAACAATATTTTTAATAAGGATAGACATTATAAGCTGAATTCACAATATATTTTCCCTCTATAGATATCCTAAAAATATTACTAACATTAATTGGTCAAGTTCAATTCTATTGTGAAAACATTGACTTCCACAATAAAATGTGACAGTGTATATTTCTTGACATCAATCATATTTCCAACATCATATTTTTAAAATTCTTTTCATATTTTATTCAAAGTATTAGTAACGCATTATTGAAGTCAGGGATACATAAAAAAAGAAATTTACTGACTACAGTGCCATGTATTGGAATTAAGTAAATGGAACTTATCCAAAAATATTTTTAAGTTTTTTGTAAAAACAAAAAAAAAAATTTTTAAATAATTAAAATAAATAGATTTATTTCAAAGAAAAATAATTTTGGTATAATGCTAAAACTAAAAATTAATTTCATACTAACAAGTTTATTAGAGTACCAGCCATGGAACAATGTCATGTATTTGAGTATTGTAACAAAAACAAACCTTTTGACTGAATTTTTTCCAAGTTAGGAGAAATAATGACACATTTTAGTTTCTTCAGCTTTAGGTGTTTTGTGACTTCACGCAAACCCAAAACAATTCGACGTCGCATTTTTGCCTGTCAAAATATTTAAATAAATCAAAAAAGGACAAATGTTTAAATGCATACATGTATTCTTTATGCAAATATTGACATTTCAAGCAGTCATCTTTTTTCTGTTAGCAAAATAAGAAATAGGAGGAAAAAAAGAAAATAAAAAAGAAAAGGTTTGGCCTTAGAGTAAAAAAAAAAATAAGCTCTTTCAGTTCATTTAATTTTCTTATTCTAGAAACAGACTGAAGTAGTGTCACCAGAAACTTATAGAGACAATAGATTTTAATATAAAGAAAAGGATCAGAATTAAGACTAAAACAGATTATTTTGCAAGATTTAAGATTTCATGTTTACATACAGAGCAGAACTTTTTATCTTAGAAACAATGCCTGATGCTTACATTCTATACATGTATTTTAGGGAAATAATCAAAAAAAAAAAAAAAAAAACGATTGTAAGTTAAAAATAACATATCCAAAGGATAAAATTTTAAAAATCACCTTCACTGGATCTTTATGGTAGAGTCTGTCTTGAAATGAAACAAGGTCCCTCAGAAGAGTAGTACAACAAGTGTCTATGTCCTTGTCCAAAATCTGGTTACAGTACCTGACAAAAGATAATATATCAATTCAATAATTCAAGTTGTTGAAGGAAAATAAGACATCAGACATAGGAGGCATCAGTAATAAGGTCATAAAACAAACTTGATGGGCATAAAGTACAAGGCTGCTTCTAACAGTGGGAGTGGAAATTGCATCTGATGGGCTTTATTGATCAGCTACTGCTTCAGTCTGGGCAACCCCTCGACAGTAGGGGGTGCCAATTCACTTCTCTCTGCATGTTTTAATAAATGTATAGAGCTTGAAATTTTTACCAAAAAGCAAGCAACTATCATTTCACCAGACAAATCACAAAAAAGAAAAAAAAGAAAAAAAAAGCAAAAACCACCCGTTACGTGACTGGCTAATTAGAATGTCAGGACCATGTGTCCCAGCCTCTTGGATAACCTGCAACAGATCTACTACAGCTGCCCAACCTCTTCAGGACCCAAAATTGGATTTGACACCAAATACCAACTAAAAAACAAGTACTCTCAAAAAAGAAATTCCTTATGAATGTTAAAATATGTCTGCAAATGCTATTGAGTACCTCCACTATATGGTACAATATGAAAAACTGACCAAATAAATATTCTGATAAAGCTTCCACTTTATTTTTTTTTTTCTATTTCTTACACGACTTCCTTGTCTATAGAGAAAAACTAACCTTTTATTTTCTTTTATTATTTTTAGAATAAATTAAGAGTAAAATTATGAATTTAAGCACAGTATTAGATTGACAACAAGGCCTCATCATTTTACAATTGAAATGGCGAGATGTAAGTTCTATGCTAACAGTTTCTTCTGCTGCACTTCTTGCTTGTGACACACTTCCAGCCTCTTGCTTTCCAATCAACTTTGATCTCCAAAAAATGTAAATACAATGTCAACTGTTATCTTCTGTCTTAATTCCTCTTATTTTTCTCTCTCCATAATAAGGTTTTCTTTTTCTAATATTCTTTCCTTGGAGTGAAATGATAATATATATATATATATATATATTTATGAGACAAGAGGAAAACTATACTTAGCCTGTGACACTGGTAAAAACAAAGAGTTAATTTAAAATATGAACTGGAATGAACAAAAAGGGTTAAGAGTAAAGAATAACATATAAAATGAAAAGGAGAAAATACAGAAGAATGATTTTATTGGTTTTGGAAAAGATTATGAAAGGGTCATCTGGAAGATTATGAAAGGGTCATCTGGAAGATTTAAACCCAGGAGGGCTGAGGAAGAATAGTGAAAATACATTCAAAGTCAGTTGAGAATTTTGGAAATGAAAGTAGAAATGGAGAAATTGATTTATGTTCACTTACTAAAGTGGAAGTTACAAAAACATGTCTCATGATTGCCAGATGGAAGAAGGGGTCAATTGTTAGATAATATTTAGTAATTTTGAAGATGAAGGCAAAAATCAAGAAACTGATTTATACCTGTCTGTCAAAGAGTGGAACTGTAAACAAATCAAGAAATAGGATTTTTCGAGACAGGAAACGAACCTATAAGGTTCATAAGTACAATTAAGATATGAAGACAAATATTTGCTATGAGCAGGTCAAAAGAGATTGCTGGTAAATCTCTGACTGCATAAACAAATGGCTGAGAAAAATTTGTTCTTGAAAACTAAGATAATTACAATTAATGACTAAAAGTTAAGGCCACCTTTTTGCCTACAGTTTAAAAATCAGATTTGTCAAAAAGACAACCAAGGTGGTGGGCTTAGATGAGATACTAAGAGAGACAGAGGAATTAGCTATGTCCATTTGGTATTAGGCATAAATAAGAGAAGGAATGAGGCAAAGTGTTACTAAAAAGATTTTAGTAGAAAGGCTTAATTTTTGTTATGCAAAGAACTACATAAACTAAATTGAAAATTTACCAGAAGAATTTTTTTGTTTTTATTTTGTCTGCAAAGACATTTCTATTTTTTATCCCCATGATAACATAGCTTTCCTGTGGTTCAAACCAGCACTAAGATTACTGACAATACTCAATCATTATCAGCTCTGTGATCAAGATACACAACATGGGTGGAGTAAGGTGTGGACCAGGGTACCAGCAACCAACAACCATTTACCAGTGACAGTATTGATCAGTGTGGGATTGACCCAGCAATCAACTAGTCATCCTACAACCCTGCGGACCAAGACATCTTCTGGTATAAGCGGCATGTGGCAATAGCCATATCATCTGGTGACTGCTGATCAGCTTGACCTAAGATTGACCAAGGCGTGTCGTTTTATAAGCCAACACATGACTCAATCAGGTCTTGCTGCCAGATGTAGTTTATCGTTATACCCAGGACTAGACACTTAACTGACTGACAACTAGAACATTATTAGATAAGAAGAATTAGATAGTACAATAACAACAATTATTAATACAAGATTTTATCTTATGACTGAAGAAATAATATACAGTATTTTTGCAGCAGCCACGTATCACATCAAAGAAGCTATTTATATGTTATATAGAATGACAGTAATCTATCCCCGAGATAAATAATGAAAATTTAAACAGTATACATACTCTCGAAATCTTCTACTGTGGATTTTTAGAATAGCTGGGTTGACATCTTTCTCTGTGGCTCCTGTAATGGGGCTGTTTACACCTGAACTCAGAGGGCTGATGCTGATGGGAGATGTCTGGCTGACAGGGGACAGATCAGCACTGGCCGGTGTCATTGCACCTCCATGCTCTCCTTTAACACTGGCAGCTGTAAAGAGAAAAAAAAAGTCAATGCTGAAACTCAAGAAGTTGGAGAAATTAAAATCTTTCTTTTTAGGACATGACATAAGGCCTGGTTTTTAAGAGAGGCATGGTGGAGTAATAGATTGTGGCTTGGATTGAGGAATTAGAGAGCCAAGTTCAAATTCCTCTAGAGTTCATTACATTCACTTATGTGCTAATACTTTTGGGAAAGGCGTGAATCCATCTCTTCTCCCCACTCCATCTACGGGTAAATAGCAGGACAGACCGGTCTAGAAGAAAAACTGAATTAAAAACCATATTTAGCCCTGGCAAAGCAGGTAGCTTTATCTCATATCCATGAATTGAATTTCTTCTTTGCTGATTGCTTCCTTTATGATGATGGTGTTGATGACTACATTCACTGTCAATGTGCAGGTTCAGAACTAGAAGCTTCCAGTTTCATTAAACCTGCTCTTGTCATCCGTTCTCTATCATTGTTTTTCTTTGCAAGAGTTGGTTGAAAGTGAAAGAAAATCAGAGGAGAAGAAAGTGCCAATAGCGTGAATTTGTTTAAGGCGAACCTCAACTGGAGAGGAAGTGACCCACACAATCAATTTCATGACCTTCCTCTGCAGCACACATGAAATGAGACATACAGAATCCAGTTATGAAACTAACGAACTGCTGTTGACATAATTTCAAGTGCACCTTCTGTAGTATGTCCATCATGTGTAGCCCTCTTCATCCATTGGTTCAACCTTTGGAATCTGTTGTAATCATCATTTGCTTGTTCCACTGTTGGGGTTGGTCATGCTTAGTTTGTGTCCTTGTCTTTGACTTTGCTGCCAAAGCTGGCCCTACCAGGATTTTAGAACTCCTAATGGCATCCTTCCTAGAGTCATTGGACCATGCAAGCCCCTCCATCACAACAAGAAGCAACCATAAGAGGTTAAGATAAGAGGCAAAGTACATACTATGAAGCTAAGGAAAGGATCATTAGCATTCATTCAATGATCCTGACTACCCTTGATTCCTTTTTAAGATTCATTCCAAGAGAGTCTAAAAATGAAATTGGGCCAATAAAACAAAATATCTAAACTAAAGAATATTTCTTCTAATTGCCTTTACTAACTACATCATCGTTTTAAGCTTATGCTACTAAGAAATGGATAGCAAAGCAAAAAATAAATCTTAAAAGAAATTAAGAGAAAAAAAAAATAGAGATACATACTTGATAATAATGATAATAATATTCTGGTCAACACAGGTTCAGTAGCCCATCAGCACATTACTAAAACAAGTAGGTAGGGCCAATAAGATTTACATATTTTCTGTTTTAATTTTTGGTATAAGGAGCTAGCATTACTTATATTTAAAGTTGTTGTTATTGTCACAATATCTCAGTTGTTGTGACCTTTAGGTTTCTTCAGGTGTGTGTTGATCTGGATAACCTTCAGGCAATTTCAAACTGAAACCTTTATTTAATCTATATAGATCTCATTGTTCTTTTTAATACTGTTCTGTTATGGTTAGTTCTCTTTCCAATGAGCCTGAGTTTTCACTACCCAACTCAGGGATTGAACTCACAATTACTAAGCAACCAAATTTGTAAGGTACTGTCACAGGGAGCATTCCTGAAACTAGAACCTGAAGCCTTAAATCTCATGTTTGCTTGACTCTCCATTGTCATTTCTGCTGAAGCCTCTCCATAGTTAACCCCCTCCCCCAAACAAAAACAAAACACTATGAAAATATAAAAATACATTCTTATAGTAAAATACCAGCAATACATTTTTATTTAAAAAAAAAAAAAAAAATTATCAACAGTGTATATTTATAGTAAAATGACCAACAATACATTTTATCTGTAGTTGAAGGTTAACAATTGCATTCAAAATATTTAAATTTCAGTATTAGATAACCCATAGAGGTTAATATACCGCTAACCAAAAATCAACCAATTATAGATTAAGGCCCACTCTTTATCATATTGTAGTCATGTTTTATATGTCAGCTTACCATACACCTAGGTTTGCTTGGGATACTAACCATTTGAGTGATCTGTCCCATGCTTATGAGTTACCAGTAATTGTATTTTGTGTGCGTTTATACCTCAAAGCTGGAAGGGTGTTGCGTTATGAAATATTAACATTATGGGAGTCACTCAGGAAGTAATGCCTCCTATTTTATTAGGCTGGCCTACAACGTCACAACTGGATGTAAGTGGTACAGTAGCAGAGGTTGAAATTTCCTTCACAATAATCATCATATAATAATTGTGCTTGTCCTTCGCTTTGTTAGTTTACACAACCATTACACCCTGTAAATAACTCATAAATAATGGAATATTCTGTTTTGATCGTGTGGAATGACAAAAGATGTATAAGAGACACTACTTGGTTTTAGTGAGCGAAAGATGGAAGTGTAACATCTACCTCATAAATAGTGGACTAACTATTCCATTTTGATCACTTGGAAAGACAAAATACATATCAAAGACGCTACTTGGATTCAGTCAGAATGAAAGAAAGGGAAGACAGAAATATTTAATGGCTGTTTCAGTGAAATGGAAAAGTTGTTGTCAATTTCAAATCTTTTCATTTGTACCTCCTTACTTCTTAAAATAATAACCAGCATCCATATTTATGATTGTTATTGCAATATTTTGTTAAAGTTGTTAAGCTAAAATATTTAACGATGTGATGGGGGATTTCTATGGATATTTCATTGTAGCAGAACTTGCCATGAGCTACTATATTTGACGGCATATAAGATGCACCTCAATTCCAGCAGGGCAAATCAAGAAAAAATTATTAGTTAGTAAAATTAGTAAGCCTATATATGGCATATAAGACACAAGGGAATTTTAAGATATTTTTAGTAAAAAAAGTGCAGCTTATATGCAGTAAAAAAGGTAATTCAATCATATTTTTATTTTTATAGATACAAATATTTAAGTAAATGCTCTGTTTATAATAAACAGTATAAACACATTTACCAGCCTGAATGTCCGAGAAATTTTCATAGAAAATATGCGTCTTCAGACAGGAATCGAACCTGTATCCTATACGGAACCGTCATATAGCCTGACGTCCTTTACCGATTTAGCCACAGAGGAGCATTTCGGTTAGCAAAAAACAGTAAAACCAACCTTGATAAGAGACTTAAAGTTTGCATAACTTAATGTAATTAAAATGTGTATTAAATTTTTAAATTGATTCCTCAATTTACATTCATTAAGGGAAGCAAATTTGCTGATATCAGTATTCTAAAACCTTTTTTTTTTTTCTAGTTTAGTGCATAAGTGTTCATTTTAGGAATATTTATGTCAATCCTGTGTAAATCTTAAAAAGAAGACATGACAACTTTAAATGTGAATTTTGAAATTTAACTATTGCTTCAATTCTGAAGTGTGAGCAGTGAATTTTATGGGAAAATGACCTGGAAACTTTGAAAAACAAAAAGAATTTGGTATGTGATTGCAAAAGTTTACTCACCATCTTGTGATAAATCACTTTCTGCATTGACAACTCCAAGACCAACAGGAACACTGAAGAGAAATAATTAACTTTTTCATTTCCAACCAAAAATAGTTAAATATCAGCTGAACATATAGATCTCTTAAAATTTAAAAATTAAAGAGGATAAGAATTAAGTGTATGCAGCTTATTAAATGCCCCAAACTAGGCAAAGTTTGTGTTTCTAAATTCAAAAATCAATTATATACGGTTTTGCCTTAATACTTATGTTATTATTTATTTTGAAAACAAATTCAGCTAAATATTTTTTTCAGTAGAATTTAATTTTAATTCAAATGAAAAAATAAAATATGTTATAATTACATAAAATCTTAAACAGATGTTATCAAGTGCATTTATTTATAAAAGTGTGGGTGGGGAGGTACACAAAACACTACCTTGGAGAGGCAAGGTCATTGTCAAGAGCACTTCCAGTGGGGTCAACTTCCAATAAACGAAGACGTTTCTTCTCTTCTCGTTCTTTAAGAATCACCTGAAATTTTATAAACATTAACAAGAAAAAATAAAAATAAATAAAAAATAACAGAAGTAAGCAAAAACAGCTTTTCTGGAAAAAAAACTCATTAGACCTAGACAAAGTAGGTAATCAACTGACTATGTATAAAAACTATAGATTTGTATCTATCTTCCAAACTGTTGCTGGTCTATAAAAAAATACAAATAAAAAATACTGTTAAAGTTAAATGAAATGTACAAATAAACTTTATAATAAACTAATGAATTATTTCATTTAGAAACAAAAAGGAACTCAACAGTTATAATACAATTATTTTTTATTACCTTAAAAACAATAAAAAAAAAATGTTAAGTCATGACATTTTTTTTTTTTTTATTTATATTGTATACTATTTCAAATTTTCAGTATTTTATGACATGGAATTTGTAGAATCATTATATGGGCTTTCCAGCAATTGGTTAATAGAAATATGAAATTCAGCTTATGAATGAAAGTTTAAACAAACTTCTTGAAATATGAATTATTTACGGATATATTTAGCATTAGGGAAAATTTGTAAAAATAAGGAGAGTATAATTTAGAGATTCTTTGTGCAAATGAAACTTTTCAGAACTTACTTTCTTTAAAGGGCTTGGTTTCTTCGTTTTAGGTGTTTCTCGCTCTTTCCCACGTCTCAATGGAGCATTGGAGTCCAAGGTATTACCAGAAAGAGGCCTACTGGAAAACTGAAATTCCAATGTCAAAAAATAAACAAATGTAATAGTTTTAAAATTTGAAGTATCATTTCTTCCCCTGAAATTTTTTTTCCCAATGTCAACTTTTGTATTCTGAATAGATGACAAAGAAATTTATATGTGACTATCCTTTCAGATATGCTGTTAACTTTTAAAAGCAGTTAAAACATAAAACTAGAGAAATTGAATTTGTGAATCTGATAAACACTTATTTTCAAATTAGGATAGTAAGGATATTTACAGATAAGGATTTAACAGATAATAGAGTACTTGTCTTGTATGATATTCAATAATAGTAAAAATCATAAAAATAAACCTTACAAAAAAAAAAAAAAAAAATTTTTTTTACTAATAATATACAAATAAAAATTTCATTTTACTTTAAATTAAATCCCATTCAGTTCTATCCCTGCATAAAAATCCACACCAAATCATTACATGCCAAAGTTAAAACAAACTCACTTTTTCCTTGAGGATTTCCTTTTTTGTGGTATCTTCTTGGCGTTTCTGGAAAGAATAAATTATCAATTTAAACTGCCATACAGACAAGATGAACCTATGGTCAAATCTAAATATATGTACTGTAAGAATTCAACTGGTTTTTATTTTAGGATCTTAAAAATTTCCTCAGAAAGCAAATGGAAAAACTGTATAGCTTTATTTAAATGGTTCTGTAATATTATTAGCTACATATTAACATAATGTTTAATTATTTCTAACAGTAATATTTCCTTTCCACCATCAGCTAATATCTATACATTTTATCCTACCAAATTAAAAAAAAAAACAAAAAAAAAAAAACATGTCAAGCAACATTAGTCTCCAATAACTTCAAGAATTTTTCAACAAAATCCATAGAATGATCTGCAATGTTATTGGTCCTGATCTGGCATCTTGACTTCATTCACATGGCTTCCCTGTCATTTCAATAAATATTTACATGGCAGTTGTTCTAATGAGCACTCCTCTTTGCTACTTTGACTGAAGGAATATAAGTGAACTAATAGATTGGCAATTAAGTTTTATCATTTTACTGTTGGATTAGCTAGATGTAATCATAAGTTCTATTCTAATAGTTCCTTTTCTCACACTTGTCACCTGTGGAACTCTTCAAGTTTCTTGCTTCCCTGCCACCTGCAATCCTTACAAATTTAAATAGAACATCAATCACAATCTCCTTTATTCTTGAATCTTGTACTTTTATTGCCCTTTCTCCTCACTAAAGTCTTCTAATTTTCTTTCCCTACCAGTAATTCTTTGTGTCTTAGTTTCCTCAGAAAGCAAATGAAAAAAGTGTATAGCTTTATTTAAATGGTTCTGTAATATTATTAGCTACATATTAACGTAATGTTTAATTATTTCTAACAGTAATATTTCCTGCCAAATCTATATCTATACATTTTATGCTCCCAATTGCTTGGAGTGAAAAGATAAAAAAGACATCATTTGCAGTTATTAAAAATAAATGTATAAGAAAGTTATTAATGAAAAGACAAACAGATTTTATGCTAATCTATGACAAGCTCTGATATTCAAGTGAAAGTGATCTAAATGAATAAAGAATTAAATATTTCACAAAGGCAATTCAATAATTTCCTTTGCCATTTAAATAAGTAAAAAAAATATTGATAATGATAAGTTTGATGTAGCCTAAAGTTAAAATTTGAGCAACTAGTGACTGTCAGATATTTTCTACAAAAGCACAAGAACATTTCTGCTTTAATATATTTTTATGAATAATAGTACTGTTTGCTTATAAATCAAGAATTCGTTATTTTCCCATTTAAAACTGATGCATTGTCATACAAAAAACTTAAACTTATTAGTTGTTATATATTTCAGAAATAGTTTTTAAAATTATGTATATTAAATTTTGCTTTTAATTTCTATATTTCTCAAAAAACACACACACACAAAAGTATCATTTTTATAACCGAGTTATCAGAAAAAGTTTCTCCTACTCACAATAGCGCTAATTTCAAAATACAATAGAAGTGGTTTGAATAAAAAGAAAAGTGTTTTGATGTGAAAGTAAAAATGCTTTAAAGCAACAAGAATTACAAAAGAACTTTAAAATATTTATTCATTGCATGAAAATTTGATTCAAAGTATATACATTTTAAATGATTTTAATTATTTGCTAAAAATGTTTTCACATCAAACAATAGACTCTAATAAGCAAACATGAAAAAAAAAAAATTAAAAAAACGAATGCAGAAAAACCAGTAACAAGAACCAGGAATTTGAATGCCAATTATTCTATTCCATGTGATTAACGTAAAACAAACTTGACTTGTTTTATCTTGATAAACATACAAATGATGTCACACGTGTCACAAAATAGCTGGCAGCTTTTCTTTGATAAGCAGATTAGATAACACCGCATCAGCTTAAAGCCACGTGATTCAAGAACTAAACCAGTTTCACATTGTTTACATAACAATGTTAATGACTACAAAATCTTATTAGAATAAGCAGAAAATAAGCCTAACAATTTCCTAACTCCCAACTAAAGTCTAAAAATCAGTTCAGAAATATACTTTACTCATTTGTGAATTTAAATTTAAAGGATGATTCATTCTAAAAATAATATTTGGTATCTACTTTATGTTGACAGAATCAACATGATGCTTCTTACTGAAATCTATACTAAATTAATGTAAGATTTCAGCAAGCAACTGATTTTGTTTAAACATATTCCCAATGAGTTTTATTGATTATTATATATAGGTGGAATGACAGATGATGAAAACAGAGAATGTAAATATTTGAAGTGGTTAGCAATTCAGAATGAATATCTGTTGCTAGGTATGAATACCTAGAGTTTTATTTTAAAAAAGAAAAAGAGAAACAGATAGGCAGTCTAGTCTTTTTTTTAAGCTGGATTAAAAACCTAACAAGATGAAATTATAAATGCCATTTTTTCTCACCTTATGGGAGTTTTTAATTTTTGGATTCCTGTGCTACTCATTAGATATTACTTGATGTACTCCATCTGAGCATTAATTTTCCTTTCTGTACCTAAACAGAATATCTATATATTTTACTCATGTTAAAGAAAATAATACAAGATTATTTTACAAGTGATTGGATTTATACCTGGTTGCTAGTTCAAATGGGAATTGAAAAGTTGATGTGAAAAGCTTAAATAGCCAAGTTAGTAATTTAAATCTTACTAGCATACCAGAAGTACCCTAGAGTTTTTTTTCTTTCCAGTTGTTAGAGAAATGAAAAGCATTTAATTAAAATAAATTGAATTAGCATCTGAAATTGCATGGGTTTGAACTCCTGACTCAACAGGGTTAGGATTTGGTGAAAAAAAGAGCACCCACTGCCATCTGAAAAATGACAGTTGAAATTAGCCCCACATTCCTAAAAGATTTGGCCCAAGAAAAAAAAATCCTTTATTGAATTAGCACTACCCCTCAATTCTGCTTTGATTGTCTAGATGAAAAGTTCAGCTGACCCTGTTAGCATATGATTGGAAGATGTAATCATTAAAGAACTTTTACAAATCCTGAAAATTGACTTGTAATCAAACACCTGAAAGAAACAGGTTTCTCATGAATACAGTTATCCACAGATGTAGCAGAGAGACAAAGCCACAGAAAGAGAGTTGTCTCAGCCTGAAAAGAGCTCAGATCCCAAATGGACTGTTTCCTTTCAATCAACCATTCACTCAACTATACTATTTTACTTCACATATCTAAGAAGAACATGGGTGTTATCTCTGGCTAATTAGTACCCAAACCAAACAATGTTATATTATAAGAGTCAGGTGATAAGGAGACTCCTTGTAGGGAACAGAAGAAAGAGATAAGCCATGTGGCAAGACCAGGTCATTAATACCTGTTAAGAAAGACTTTCAGTTAAAATGAAGCCGTCAAGTAGGGCAGAAGATGAGACAGTCAGGTACTCAAAGTCAAAATTTAACAGAATCAAGTAGTTGAAATCAACTACTCCCAGTATCATAGCTAGAAAGACCCCACCCTTAAGCGATACTTTTATGGGGTCAACACTTTTGGGTCTGCTGTATAAGCCTGTATAGAAAAAAAAAGGAAAAGTTACTTTGTAAAAAGCAGTTTCCATTTTAGAAATAAATGATGGCCCTAATTATTTACATTTTCCCCCCTATATATTAATTTTACTTTAACTTACTTTTAAAGTTAAAGTACATTTGGTGTGTATTTAAAGCATACCAACATATTTAAGTATGTGTAGGTAATGTTATAATGGTACACAAACTAGAGTCTGTCCATATTTCTGAGATGAGGTATTATGTACATTATTCACATTATTCAGACTATTGTCCTCATCTTATCACGTTTCGGCCATTGTACGCTCTGGCCTTCTTCAGGTGGTTGGAATGTCGAACTGAACCCTTTATTTCGCTCACTGGGGTAGACTGTTCTAGCTCCACATGCCATGTTTGATGGATGTCAGTTATCAGTTATCGCCTGTTAATTTCCCTCTGAAAGTTCTCCACTGCCTTAACCAGGTATTGAACTCACACTCTTTGGGTCCTGTCACTGGATCTAACCAACACCTTTATCCACTGTACCATGTGTCCTTGTAAATAAAGGCGTTGGTTAGATCCAGTGACAGGACCCAAAGAGTGTGAGTTCAATACCTGGTTAAGGAAGTGTAGAACTTTTAGAGGGAAATTAACAGGAGATAACTGATAACTGACATCCATCAAACATGGGATGTGGAGCTAGAACAGTCTACCCCACTGAGCGAAATAAAGGGTTCAGTTCGACATTCCAACCACCTGAAGAAGGCCAGAGTGTACAACGGCCGAAATGTTGTGATCAATATGGCGACAAAGATGAGGACAATAGTCCGAATAATGTCAATAATGTACACAAACTAGTTAATAAATAATATATATATAATTGGGAGTCACTGTGCAATATGTTCTATTTTTTGTAGAGGATAGGAGGAGGTGCTGCAAACTAAAGGGCTGCTACACAAAGCAGGCACTCTGCCCTGCACAGCACACACTCTAGCTGCATCATTGCCTACTCCACTACCCCTCATAAGATATTGCCTGCAAAAATTTTTGTCAACTGAAAAAAAATTTTCCATTTGCAGACTGATGATCAAATGGACGAGTTGAAAATAACTGTCAGCAAGCCCAAGCCCAAGACCAAATTTCTAATTGAATTTTCAAACAAATTAGACTTTACTAAAAATGGTTCAGAATTCCCTTTCATTGCATCTCCAAACATAGGAAAAAAAAAAAAAAAAAAAAAAAATAAAGTCAACTAAACTAATTACTATTTGATATGCTTTCTACACAACAGTCTTACAACTGAATCCTGTTCTTTCAACATATTCTCATTGGAGATCATTTGTAGAAATGTACAAGCTGCAAATAAATGATAGTTCATGATTAAATTTAAAACCCATTTTATACTGGTTAAAAGAATAGACACATAAATGCATTATATTGTGCCGTTTTTATTATTTCAAACATTATTTTTAGTGGCTACCCATATTTTAAGATGCTAAATTTATTTTAAACAATATTTATTTAGTTTACTGGTCTTTGTACTTGGGAAAGCTTAATAAAGAAAGTGAGCACTCCGTCAGGAATTGATCCTGCATCAACCTTTGCAAGAAGAACCACTCTGTTTTTGCCACTAAGCTACGAAGGGCTTCACAATAAAGCAAGGTTCCATTTTGCACACTTAGATTTTTCTCAAAACACAAATCAGTTCAGTTTTGTATTTGAAGCATAAGCAAAGCAATTTCTAAAAAAAAAAAAAAAAAAAAAAAAAAAAAAAATTAATGGATTTTATTTTTTGAACCAACAAATTTTTATTAGTTCAAATGTTATTTTTAGTGGATACTCATATTTGAGTAGACCCTTTTGTTTATTTAAAACAGTATTTATTTCCACTACTGAGCTGTGCAGAAAGAAAATATCACTGTATTATTAACTATCATTATCAAATCTATTTTATACTTAGTGAAAGGTCACTAGAATATACAGTAATTGCAAAGGTATTTTATTATATTAGGTATATCATCCTTAGTTACCAAACCAAACAAACATTGTAACAGTTTTAGGATTTTTTTTTTTAAACATAACCAGTCATATATATATATATATACCTGGATTCTATCCTCTTGGAATTTTTTATTCAAAAAATATATCTATGTGTATGCATCTATGTATATATATATATATATATATATATATATATATATATATATATACACACACACACACACAACAGTTCAAAAAGTTTGATGCCACCCTCAGTATTAGCATGGGATGAACATGACAGAAGAATGGAAAAAAAAAAAAAAAAAAAAAGAGATCTTAGAGTCATTGAAAAAAGAATGGAATCAATTATCAGACTTATACTTTGAGAAAATTTTACAATGAATTCCAAAAATTTGTGCTGCAGTAATCAAGGCTAAAGGAGGATATTTTGTTGAGAGCAAAATTTAATCATAAAATGCTTGTTTTCTTTTTTGTCATAATAAAATTTCTAAAAAAAAAAAAAAAAAAAAAAAATCAGTACTCGGACATTTGGCCAATGGACATTTAACTGAAAATGTAGTGGCATACTTACATGTATGTCACACTCTTTATCTTAATGTGCTACATATATTTATTTACTGTATTAATTTATAATTTTTTGTTCTTTTTGACAGGCTTTTTTTAAATCTATTCTTTATATATTTTAGTTCAATTATTACTGAAAGTATTGAGGAAAAGCACATTTTACTACAGCAAATATCTTAAGCTTTTATGATATGAAAGATCTTTCAATTTTGCTTTTAATGATCATTATCTTAAAGGGATGAACTAGCTTTTATATTATTGTTAAATATGAATTGAAATAATCAAGTACTACTTTTTACCCAAATACACTGAAATATTTTTAAAACTACTAATTTCAATAAACAAATATTAAAATAAGAAAACTTAATTTTAAATTTAGATTTAGTAATTTAATCACTTGAAATTCAGTGATAATTATTAGTCCTATTCTACCTTATAATACTGCTAATTAAAATACTTAAAGTATTGCTTGTTACTATTTTTACTTGTACTTTTTCAGTGAAATGTTCATTGATCAAATGTCCAGCCACAAAAAAAAAAAAAAAAAAAAAAAACCCACTTTTTTTTAAACCATATATAATAATATAATACGTTAGGCCAATTTTTAAAAAAATTACCAGGGGATGGCTTAAAACTTTTGAACTGTATTGTGTGTACACACACAAACATATGAGAGAGAAAGAGAAATGAATTGGGAATACAGAAAGTTTTTACCTCAAGAGCATCTATCATAGCTCTTATGTCAAGAGCAAATGGTTGCTTGGACTTTTTTCCTGGCGTAACAGGAGCTGGTGGTTTGCTGGGATTAACAGTTAGAAGGCCAGGTGTAGCTCCAGTGTTAAGAGGAGGCTTTACTGACGAAGATGTTGAAGTTGTTGCTGCTACTGCAGCACTTGCAGATGTAGATTTCTTCATTGGGATGTTCCGTTGCATCAGCATCTGTTGTTCAAGGGTAATTTCAGCAAGTTCTTCTTCTGCTGCACGATTGGCTATTTCCTGTCTTTTCTGCCAGCGCCGAGTTATACGACCATCCTTTTTGCTACCTGGGAGTATACAATCAAATATATATATATATTGCATGTGCAGTATTTTGTTAGGAAAGACCAAACTGAAATTATCACTCAACAAATAAAGCAAAACATAATATACTGCATAGCCAGTAGATATGCAAGATTTTTTTTTTCTTATATTTTACTTATATTAAAAGATAAGTTTTCTGCAGAATTATTTGTATTATGAATGAATGCAAATAATTTTTTTAAAATGACTTCTTAGATTTAATGGCTTGTTATGGCAGACAGTGATTGTACAAGGAGGTGCTGAAAATTTCTTGGCCCAACCAAAAAGATTTTTTTTAAAAATCTGATTATTTAGTTCAATTTTATAAAATAGGTCAGACTGACAATTTTTCAGTACCTCTTGATTATAATAACCACCACCCTTGTTGACTATTGTGGCATGTGGGGGCTTCCTTACTTTGCTCAATTTAGCAGTAGCAGCAATGAAAGCAAGCAGCAAGGGGAACAACAGGAAGTCCCAGAACTCATAAAAACACTGTCTGAGCCCTACTTGATCTCTTTTTCAACTTTTCCTTTTCAGCAGACACTACCTTCAAGGCCAGCTTGAAGAACTACTCACAACCCTTGCTGCAGAAGACATGTGGCCTGTCATGGCAGCTTAGGTTGAGGTTTCTCATTCCACGTGGAACAAGTGGAGAAATCTCCCTTCAAGACACCTACACAAAGGAAAAACTACTTGCTACTCTTGCTGCAAAAGACCTGTACCAGTCCTAGCAGCTTGACACTTAATTTCTCATTCCTTCTGGGAAGAAGCAGAAAAGTCTCTCTACAAAACATCTACTCTAGGGAAGAACTCTGTTAACTGAAAAACCCAACCCTGCAAATACAACTATTTGTACTCTCTTTCAACCACAAATAAAAGCTGTAGAACAGTTATTTTGAGCATTGGGTTTGTTCATTCCACTCTATTCACTGCCAATCACACACACACAACTTGGAAAATTTCTACATGATAGCTTACAAAAAAGCTGCATGTGTCTTAATCGATGCCAATCCCCCCCCCAATCAAAATTTGAAATTTTCAAAGTTACCTATTTGTTACTAACTAGACATTAATGTGCTTATCTTCAACAAATAGGTAAAAAAAAAGCAGTGTTTTGCACACAGTGTCTTAAGATTGTTTACAGCTTATCAACATTTTTCAGGTTATTTAAAGCCAGACAATATATTTTTAGATAAGAATTCTTTGGAGGTAATTATTTACTGATACAAGTCTTACTAATTAACCCATAGCAGTGGGGGAGAAGTGAAATCATAACTTTCTCAAGAGTATTGGCATGCAAGTGAATTATAAAAAAACCCGGGTGGAATTAGAACTCAACTCTTGATTTCCAATTCCGAGTCATTATCCATTATCCACCCATCTACATACTGACTAGGCTCGACACTGCTTAACTTCAGTGATTGTATGAGAACTGGTGCTTCAACATGATATGCTTGTAAGCCCCGAGTCTTAAGAACTGCAATTACTGTATTTGATGGCATATAGGTCCCCACCCCATTTGGATGAGAGTATTATAGAGTAGGCCAGGTAAAAGCATGAGTAGTCTATGACGTCTGGGAAAACATTAACTTATCAGATACCACTGCTTCACATATAAAGCGTTCTTTTTAGTCATCTTTTCAAAAAAAGGGTTTTATATGTCAATTACAGTAGATGTAAATTATTAAAGTAATTTCATTTGAAGGGAAATTACTATTTTTTATTATAATATCAAATGATTGCTTCTAAGTCATCACATAAAAACCACTGCTTTCTTATGATTCAAATCAAATAACCTCAGTAAACAATGAGATTTCACTGGTCTTGATATGCATCATTGCAATCATCTCAATATGAATAACACCATATCGAAAATCTATTTTCAGATGCACATGAGAAAATAGAGAATACTCCCATTCTGCTTTACAATTTTCATAGCGTGTGCATATTGTTACAAAGGTAATCCTTTAAACAAGAAAAAAAATCTTATCTACAGGAATTGCCTTTCATAAATAAAAAATGAGGGATAAAAATTAAAATGTTAAAATGTTAGAAGTAATATTGCCAGGTGATTAACTTACAAGAGGCTGCATGAGTTCCAATGGAACTCTAAAAATCTAGAAAGTAAAGAAAAAAAAAAGAATAAAAAATGATAAGTGCTTACTTGCTCCACTCTCTTCAAGATCTCCCTCTTCTTGTGAAGGTGTTTGGTATATCACAGAGTTCTGAAAGAAATCAAGATCTTGCACTATAACTATAAAAACAAATTTGAAATAGCAAGAAGTAAACACTTACGTTTGTATGCTCAAAAACCATAATTGAATTTAACAAAATAATTCACTTCATGCTGATAAGAACTAGGTACATGGAAGCAAGCTTTTGGGTAAAATGAACAAACAACTCACAACTAATCAATTTATAATGCAATGTACTATAATCGAATAGTACATTAACACCATTCATTCAAGATAATTTAAAAATAATTTTTTAAAAACTATATTAATCTGCTATATTAAAAATAGGATTTTTTATTTTATTTCTTTTGTTATATTATTTACGTTATTCGAACTATTGTCCTCATCTTTTGTCGCCATATTCATTACAACATTTGGGTCCGTTGTACACTCTGGCCTTCTTCAAGGTGGTTGGAATCCACTGAACTTTATTTGTCCTGGGGTAAAGACTGGTTAGAGCCAGTGACATGACCATGTTTGATGGATGTCAGTTATCACTTATCTCTGTTAATTTCCAGAGGAAAGTTCTACACTGCCTTAACAGGTGACATGAACTCAAACTCTTTGGGTCCTGTCACTGGATCTAACCCCTTTATGACTGAAATAATGGGTTCAGTTGTAAATCCAACCACCTGAAGAAGGCCAAAGTGTACAACCATGACAAAGATGAGGACAATAGTCCCATTAATGTAAAATAAAATAACATGATACCTCACCTCAGAAATATAGACAGCTTCTTTTGTTATATAGGGAATCTATATAACAAAAGAAGTAAAATAAAAAATCCTATCAAAATAACTTCTGTAGTAATCATGACAGAAACAGTGCAAATATCAAATCTATAAAAGTTAAGGAGATATTCTACTTAATTTGCATTTCAAGTGCTACTTGGAGAAAATGGTTTTAAATTTTTTAATTTAAAAAAATTCTTTTTGCAACACACTGATGTGTGTTGAAATCCCCCCCCAGTATTTAGTATTATTGAAGTTATCACTAACATTTCTTGTTGAGATTTACAAACTCTACTCACCCTAATGTGTTTATATTTACAGTGCTACTACTGTACCATTATATTTTACCAGAATTAAATATATATAAAAACAAAAAAGAAAATATGCCAAAAAATAATATTGCATTATTATTTAAATAAGTATTTATTATTTCAATCATTTTCAAAATAGTGGAAGTATTTTGTATGTTAAATAATAAAATTTAATTTAAAAAAAAAAAAAAAAGAAAATGAAAATTTATTGTACTAAACTATGCACCCTAGTAAAACCAACAGTACTTTGTACCCCCTTACCTGTTTGTACTTCTCTTCAAAATTTGGTTTCAATCACTCAATATATGGCTATTTTAGAGAACTTGATAGACAAGCCATTGGAAATCACAGAATTTTATATATAGATGCAAGACTATTTAAAAGTACACATAAAAAAGCAACTTGCACTCGTGTATAATATCATTAAAATAATACTAATGTGAATGATTAAAAGCAGTTAAAATAGTTATTGTTTTTACTATGGTCTGTTTACATTTTTAAATAGAATGGTAGAAAAGAACATGAAATCTGAAATTCTATATCCAGTTGCTAACGTGTTATTAAAGATATAAAAAAAAAAAAAATTAATGTTTTTACTAGTAAATCATGATTTTGCACTATAACTATAAAAACAAATTTGAAATAGCAAGAAGTAAATGCTTATGCTTGTACATTCAAAAACCATAATTGAGTTGAACAAAATAATTTTCTTTTTATGCTTATAAGTAGGTACATGGAATTAACTTTACTGATTAAACAGTGTTGGTGGTTCATCATGAAGTACTTTATAAACTGAACTATAGATCACAAATTTAAGGATGCTGGAGTAAGGGCTCTGTCATTGCATGATGCACATAGTATTTGTCTATGGGAAACAGACAATGTTTGGATCAATAAATTAATTATAGTCCAATTATGGCTGATAAATATCATTCACAAAAACTTCAAGTAAAAAAATAAAACCCCAAAAACTGAAGTCAATTCCTATACATAAACCTTATGCCACCGAGCTACAAGTATTGCAAAAAAGAAAAGGAAAAAAATAAATAAATAAAAAAAGCTATTTTTGCAATGACAATATTGATAAAAGAAAAAAAAAAAAAAAAAAAAAAATCACATACATTTTTCAACATATCACAGTATTTCATTCTGGGGGCTATTTGTTCCTTTACGACGATGGTTGATGATAATTCAGGAAACTCTTCTTCATCTTCATAGTAGAGAACCATATCATCCATTGATACAGAATTGGATAAACTTGAACCCTGGGTTTGACCTGGACTCGAAAGATTGCCTCCTTTATTAGAATCTCCATCTTTCTTCTTCTTGCGTCTATTACGCTTTCGTTTCTTCTTTCCATTCTCTTCTCCAGGTTTTGGATCAAGATTCTTGCTCTCAGAAGTTGCCAGTTCTTGCACTGGTACCTTATTTGAAGAAACAGCTGGGGTTGGGGTAAACCTGTGGACTGTTTTGGTTGGTCTCTGAGCAATGGCTGCATAGCTGAATCCAACAGGCTGGGCCAAAGGCACAGCAGGCTCAGCACAAGAAACCAGCCTATCAGGGGCTGCATGAGTGCCATTTGATACTAAGTTACGCCGATGAAGAGGACTACTATAGCCACTGTCAGAATCTTTTTCTTCAGAATCAGTCAAGTTGGTAATCCACTGATTAGAATGATTACGGATTCGCTTCTTGCTTCCAAACAAAGAACTTGGCTTTTCAGAAAGGGTCAAGTTAGCAACTTCCTCAGAAAAATCTGAAATAAAAAGTATTTGTAATAGTCAAAGAAGCTAGAGTCTATAATTTTTTTTATGTATTGTCATCAAATGTAAGTTTGGAAGTTGTAGATGAGAAACATTTTAGTAGCCAACTTATTTTACAAAAATTAACCTAATTAGTTTTCATGAAAGAAAAAAAAAATTTTTTTAACACTCTCAGATTCCTAAAAGATCATTTGAACTCCTTCAAATCAAATACTAATGTGAAGACAGCTTAGTGACAAATTTTATTTGTATTAATCATATATATAATTTTCTACCAAAGCAGAAAAAAGCATGAACATTTCAAACTGTTTTAATGCATGCAGATATGAAAACTATACACCTTTATTAAAACTGAATAAAAATTATTTACCTGTTTGAACAGCTACTTCATAGACAGCTTTGTGTTGGATTCCACTTTTAACATTGTTATTGGCTCCAGATCTGGATAGTTCTTTCTGTATTCCAATATTCACCTTATTAGTAGATGGGGTCTGGAAGAGAGATCATACTTTCACTTTAGGTTGGGGAAAATTATTTTGTAGTCGTATTGTAAGCATGAATGTAATTGCTCTAGTTTAGTGAAATGAAGACGATTGGGAGCTAAATTCTGAAATCCTACTAAAGAAAAAAAAATATCACTCTTTACTGATAAGAATTCCTTATGCAAAAATATCATTGCAGTTTTCATTAGCCAACTGAAATGAAACCTTTCTAAACAATTTTAAACAATAAGGGAAACAAGATATTGCTTGCAGTGGACATACCTAAATAATTATGTATAAAATTGAAGCTTTAGAAACATTAATAGGCCTATAGGCATATATGATCATTCCATATGTACGTGCATGCATTAAAAAAAAAAAAAAAAAAAAAAAACGAAAGAGAAAAAAATTTAAGACAATGGTTTCTGAGATACTATCAATAAAAGTACACGTGTAAAGACTATTTTTTCATCATTGTAAAAGAGAATGATGTAAAAAGTTAAGATGACTAAAAATGTAAATATCTAAAATAATGGAATAATCATTACTAAGTGGATCTGTAGAAAATCAATGAAGACTACAAGGAGTGTGCAGATAGTGTAATGGCTATTAAGTTAGAAAATGGAATTGGTAAGCAGAGTTAGTTCTAACAGTTCTGTTGCATTCACATTGCACAAACACACTTGGGGTAAGGCATGAATTCATTTCTTCTCCCCCAGCTATAGGTCAAATAACTATGAGTGGTACTTTGTCTCAATGGATAACTCCGAATTCGAGTACCATGGTAAAGGCATAGTAAATCATTCCATTATTTTCCCAAGAATTAATGGCAACTTACACATTATAAAAAAAGAGAAGAATGTGGAGAGCCATGATCATCTATATCCTAAAGGAACATGACATTAAAAACAGAAAAAAATCTTAAGGTTATGAATAATGTTTGTGCTGAGAAAAAAAAAAAATAATAATAATCTGATATTGATAAAGACTCTACAAGATTTTCTACATATCAATTTTTGTCGCAAAGGCTTTCCAGAGCTAAAGAAAAATTGTGTAAGTTGAATACATAAATAAAAAAAAAAAAATTTCTTTATTTTTATTCTAAATAAAAAAATAAAAAAAAAATAAAACTAATGAACAGAATTGTGAACAAAGATTTTGCTCAAAAAGTCTATTAAAAGTTTTTGATATGTATATGAATATGCTTTGGTTAAACAATTTTCTCACAGGTTTTTTTGTATCTATATATGATTTATTACCAAATTCTATCATTCAAGTTTTAGCAGAATAAAATTATATGACAAGAAAATCAACATATATACTTTTACTTGGTGGTGGGGGGGTCTCTTCCCCCTCCCTTAAATTTATTCATCAGCAAAGGTTTTAACCTAATATTTTTTCATCTCAATACAACTTGTAACATTCTTAACCACATTCTCCTCAGTACTGAAGCAATGAAAGGCAAAAAGAGAAAAATAATTGTGTATTTACTTTATGATTGTAAACAGTTTGTGGTTTTGTCTGTTTCATCTCTGGCCACTCCTCATAGTTTTGAGTATTGGCTGCGTAGACATTGGTAGGCGCTGCAGGAAGATATCCAGTTGACATGAGAGTGGGATCCAGCCCATAAGGAGCAGCTGGTGCAGTGGAAACGGCAGGGTGAGCTCTTGGTGGGGCTCCATGGATTGGAGCCTGTGTTGGTGGCAATGGTGGTGGAGGTGGAGGAGGGGGAGGAGGGTTGAAATTATAACCAGGAGGTGCAGCTGCTGAATACTGCACATAAACATAGTTGGAGCCTTCTGCAGCAAGGGCAGCTGCTGGATAATTCAGACGGTTGTACAGCATGGTTGGGTGGGGCGCTGGGATTGGAACGCTATAGAGAGGTTCTTCCATTTGTCGACGTACTGGGCGGCGAGAGCCATTAAACTTGCCACCACGGTTACTGCCTTTACCTAGGATTTAAGAATTGAAAAACTGGTGACTAATTACAATAAAAAGTTTTGCATATTATTTCACAAACTTTTACTTTATTTTGTTATGCTAACAAAATGGACAGGTTCTCAAGAACATTAAATTTACCTTTGCTAAGTTAATTTCTAATATCAATGCAAAGTCTATATGTATGCACAAAAATCATTACATAATATGCAAACCAAAATGAAAATGTGCAAAATTTTCAAATCTTACGGTACTACTATAGTATCTACCATCCATTTTCTACTATAGTATGATATTTACCAACTGTTGGAAGTATGAAATATGTTAGGGTTAAACACAGTGAACTGGTTATGTACTCAAAATCATTAACAATTTTTTTATATAAAAAATTATTTTTTTTAAATCATCAAATAGTCATTTTAATTTTTTAAAACTGATTTGGTGTCATTTAAAAAAAAAAAAAAAAAAAAAAAAAACAGTAAACAGGTTATCACTTTTCCTGAGCATTTTCCAGCTATAATGAGTACATAGTCATTTATGGTAGGTTGCAAATGCCTCAAGAGATATCATACTATAGTAGCACCAATCTTAGTAAAGTAAACAAGCTGGAAATTAGGAACCTTAGTTGAGAGTTTCACATTTTAACATTTCCACATTTTGAAATTAATTTGAGCGGGAGACCACCAAAACTCCTTGTAACACCAAAGATGAACTGAAGGCAAGGATTATGGAAGCATTCACTAACTTAAACAAGGAAACCATCCGGAAGAGATGCAGGAAATTACTGAATAAATTTACTATTTAGTATTTCAAGATATTTTTGTGTAATTTTGGTAAATATATCTTTGAAAATGAGATGTCAATGTTATTTACATTTTTGCATAATTTAGACAATAATTTTTCCATCGCATCCTCTGTGTGTGTGTTACACACACACACCCTGATCAAAAGGTATCAGGACTGTTGCAACAGTAACAGCACTAAAGCACATGAGTGAAGCAGCTTAGCACACACTGACCTTGAACTGTCACACATACACACTAATTTATAATGTTCTTTCTCACTTCCATTGCTTATAGCAGTGCTCAAGAGGAAAGTGTGTAGAGTGTGGTCATTTCACCAGACCATAGAGGTTCCATCAGTGACCATGACTTGTGCAGCAGTTTTTGGTCAAAAATAACATTCTCAGGTTTAACAACCACCATATTCTCCAGATCTTGCCCCTTGCTACTTTTCCTCTTTCCAAAAATTAAAATCCCAATTGAAAGGAACAAGATTTCAAGACATCAAGGAAATTCAAGTGAACACAATATGGCAGCTGCTCACTATCCCCACCGACAAAAAAAAAAAAAAAAATAAAATAAATGAGTTCCAAATTGAAAAAAGAAATTACTCAGAAAGAGAATCATCTCAAAATGATTTCTTTCATATAAGTACAAAGCAACAAAATAAGCCAAGGACAATCTCGACTTGTCCAAGAACTAAGCATCATCATAATCATAATAGTTAAGAGAAGAGCACAATGTAAGAAAAGAAAAAGGAAAGAAAAAACAGTGTTTGTCAATGTTAAACAATACTTCAACAGAATATCATCAAGTTATATTTTTTTTAAAATTTTCTAGTATAAAAATATATAAATCTACAAAAAAAAAAAAAAAAAAAATGTAATGTCAATGGAGCTTGCAGAACATTTTATTATGAACAACTGTAATTTCTATAAGCATCTTAAAGTGCACATTCTGAAAAAATATACAGAATCAACTGACCTTTTGACCCTTAAAATGCATGAGGATAGTTACATATGCAAGTTACTAACTTCCTGGCCCAGGGAAATGAACAGAATGACAGAAGAGTTCCTAAGATTTATACTAAGCTTTTTGTTTAATTTCTCTTAGTAACTAATCAACTAACAGAAAATTCAAAGATGAACAAGATTGTCATCATATTAAGCACGTTTCAATTGCATGTCTTCACACTAGCAGTGTTTCATTTGTTTTGAGGCATTCATTACCAGTACAGCTGTTTTTTCATTACAAGACAAGCAACATTTGTATAAAAACAATTTTTTTTTTGTGGATATAAGTATTTTTATACTTGAAAAATTTTTTTTTAAATACAACTTGAAGACAGACATTCTGTAGAAATATTGTTCAACATTGTCAAACACTCTTTTCTGTTCTTTTTTTTTTTTTTTTTTTTAAAACATGCTCTTCTCTTAACTGTTGAAAATATTGGAAGAGTTACAGCAATCATTTTGTTTTTTTTAATAATAATAAAAATAATTTGTGAAGTCACATGTAGGCATTTTTTATAGAATGAAGAATTATTCAACAAAATAATTACAAAGATTGTCTTCAAACAAGAAATGGAATGATATTTACCAGAGTAATTTTTGCCTCCTATTACACGTCCAGGTACCTGCCAGCCACCAATATCCCTGAAGGAGGGGAAAAAAAAAATAATATATACTAACAATTGTAAAAAATGCTACAATTAAGGCTCCTACTTAAATAAAATAAAAACATGGCAAAATTAGTTACATTACTTGAATATATTTTGCTATAAATGCTAATTCAAATCTGATGAAAGCATATATATATATATATATATATATATATATATATATATATGACAGGACTTTTCAATATCTAGTTAGCAAAAATGACAACAAATGCTAAATTACCTACACTCAGGATGTTCCATGCCAAGTACACATGGCTAATTTGGTATATTTGAAACATACTAACCATTATAGACAAGTGTTATATAACAAAGCTTTGATATGGTTAGGTGTTTGACTAACTTATGGTTAATTTATTTGGCCTTAAAAAAAAAAAAAAATTTAAATTTACAAAATGTTGGTAGATCGCAAGAAAAAAAAAGAAAAAGAAAAGTGACTATATTGGATAAATCACTGGGCAAAATCAATTGTTTATACCTGCACTGAAGTCAACAGCTTAATTTAATGACAAAAAAAAAAAAAAAAAAAAATCCACAAAAGCCTGCAATCAAAACAAAATTTTCATTGAGCTTTCTTCAAAGAAATTCTGCTCGTTGTGCACTTTACTCTGGTTATTTTTGTTAGCAATCAAATTTTATAGTACAAGGACAAATGTATAGTACTAATTTCTTCAATGAATGGATGTACCTTAGTATAAGGAACTGGTGAGTGGTCAATCATTAGGCCTTTTGTCAGCAGAACCAACCTACAGACAGCTAAGTGGTATTAAAAGTTAGCTTCTAGTTAAATTAAAGTTTCTTATTCAATGTTAAGAGGAAAAAGTGAAACACCAAACATTATCTCATTAAAGTCTAGATGGATCTGCAGTGAAAGCCTAAATTCTACCTGTCTAAATAAAAGATATTCCAATATAAATTTTGCAAGTGAATGAATCAACTGAAGGGAACAACAAAAGCCTAGATGCATATATGGAAAAAAAACCCCATAAAATTTGTATTAACTAGCTGATATCTTTATATTTCTGAGGTGAGGTATTGTAATTTTTTTTTTTAACATTATTTACATTGTTCAAACTGTTGTCCTCATCTTCAGTGCCATATTCACATTTCAGCTGTTGTACACTCCGACCTTCAGGTGATTGGAATTTCAAACTGAACCCTTTATTTCATCAACCAGGGTATATTGTTCTAGTTTCATGTGCCATGCCTCAGTATCAGTTATCTCTCTTTAACCCAAACTTTTGTAGTCAGTTTTGGAACTTGCAACTATTTGGGTCACATTTTCCTTTTTCCTCCATATGTATTCAGCTACAGTTGATTTTTCTATTTCTCCATATGTTATGACTTTACAGTGTTCCTGTAGTCTTATCTTAAGAAGGCAATGTATTTCTCCTTTACTTTTCTTACCACAGATGCATGGGATGGCATATACAGAGTCCTTAATTATGTTCTCCTCAATGGGAGGGTATTAATTGGAAGAGGTGTCCAAAGTGTTGAGCCACTTTTGAAGGTCATTCTAATGTTATATAGACTAGTGATCTTGTATTTTTCCAATAATCCCTTCACATAGGGTAGGCAGACTGAGGCTGTTTTCTGAGTGTTGTTTTCTGAGTGTTGTTATCCTCTTGAACCCTTCTATCCCAATTTGTCAGAGCTGCTGTCATGTACCCAGGGAAGTTATTAAGTTGAGGTATTGTCTGGTGAATGTTGACTTGCGGTATACAGATGTCTTGGACCCATACTCTGACAGAAAGTCAGCATTTCCATCAACTTATTTATTGGTATATTGGTACATTCTCCTAGGGACGTGTCTGAGGCCAGTCTGTCCAATAGTGCCTCCTCGGTGGGTACTTTGGTGAACAAGCTCACCATGTCCAGACTCACCATCTGGTTTAATTGGATGAGAGCATCTTTGATTACTTCCAAGAAGTGGGCAGTGTTTAAGACACATGGTGATCTTTCTATTAACAAGTCAATTATATCCACAAGGAAGCAACTCAGAGGGTGCCACACAGAGTCTTAGCAGCTAACAATTGGTATGAGCAGAATACAGTCTTTGTGAATTTTAGGGAAACTGTATATGTGTGGTAGCTTGTTGTAATGTGACAACTGCCTGTATGTCTTAGGTGGTAAATGGTTTTTTGTTCTTGATTAGGAGCTTTGACAGTTTTCATTGTTGGATCTTTCTTTACTTTAGCTACCATTTCTAATGAGGTATTCCAGTTTTCCTGTATATTCCGTTTTGTCCATGATTAGTCACATTGCCTTTGTCAGCTGGTAGTATGATGATGTTATCATTCCTCTGTAGGATTTTGATTGCCAACCTCTCTAGTTTTGTGATTTTTGATTTGTGGCTTTGCTTTCTCCAGTATCTGTCTCATTTTCCATCTTAGCTTATCAAGGAAATAACATTTAACATTATATACATACACACAAACTCTAATATGTAAATTTATTTATTTATTTACACTATTATATTATTTATTGGAATGGTTGGCAAAACATTGGCTAATTGCCATTTAACTCAAACTTTATGAAATGGTAAATAATAAGGATTTCCTTACAAGTTGGCTCACATAATTTAATAATTTAGCAAATGCTTATAAATTTATGAATAAAAAATTGTTTTCACATTTATTTCTTTATAAATTAGTAAATCATAAATATTGCATTAGTTTTTGGAATGTTGTAAATATAAAATTATTCTTGTAAATAAACAATCTAATAAATAAATAGTGTTTAATATTTTTGTTGTAAATTCAAGAAGAAAAAAAAGTATAAATTCACTTTCATTGTATATTTAGGTTTTATTCCAATTTTAATCATCACTTTTTAAAATAATAAACATTACAAAAAAAAAAAAAAAAAAAAAAAGCAGTGTCATGAGAAAAACTGTCCTTTTGACACATCTATTTATTTTTTTTTTTAATTTCAGTTATAAAAAGAGATTGTCAGTTGTAAGAAAGATAACCTCAAAAGAGAAACAAGTTACTGGAGTTATAAGAATGATAATTTTGCAAATTACAATCAAGTTGAACAAGGATCACAGAACAATCCAAAAAGAAATTTTAAGAATGACACAAAAAGAGATCTGAGAAAAATTAGAAGAGTAATAGCAAGAAAAGTGGACTGAAGTCTCAGCATGCATTTGTGCGCTTCTGCCTATAAATTAAGGAGGGGGAAAGTGTTTTGCAATCATCCTCAGAAATTAAAACCAGCATTTTCAGTCAACTTTGCTCTTAAAAAATTTAAATACTATGTCAATCATTATCTTCTGTCTTCTTAATGATTTCATCTTTTTGTATTAATATGTTAATGTTTTCTTTTTCTCATTTTTTCACACCTGGTAAACTAGCACCTTAGTGGCTTTATTGCCTTGCTGGGGGCTAAAAGGATTTAAAAAAAAAAAAAAGTGAAAGAGAAAGAGAGAGAGAAAAGATGCAGAATATTAAAAACATTGTTAAAGGCAAGCGAACTATCACCTTAAATAAAAATCAACATGAGAAATAGATACATTGAGCAAGGAAGTACATTAGAACAGATTTCTCAATTTTTAATGAAAATAGTCAGCCAACAAAATTTAGAAGACAATGAAGAAGAATAATCTTTTGGGCTGGTATTGGAGTCATTAAAATTACATGTTCCTACAAAGTGGATGATAAAGTGAAGATAAATGCAGAGAATTATTCTAGCACATTCACGGTAATCATGAAAGGATTTGGGAAAGCTAATTACTATATCAGGCTACATGTCAAGTGACCCTCAGAGTATTATTTGATTTGCAGACATTATTACCTCCTTCAGTTAACCCTACGCTAAGTTCTAGAAGCAAAGAAGATCTCTGGAGAAACAATTAAAACCACCATAAATAATGTTAAAATTCAAACAGTAGAAAGGTTAAGGAAATTAATGGTTAAAAGAGTGGTAAAGATTATAGAATATCCAGGAGCCCATATTAACATGCATAATAATAATATAATTTTTTCAACTACATGGAAGACTGTGCTAATAAAGTGTTTCTCTGGACTTGTCTTCTGGATTTATCAATAAAAATGTAAGTTGCATTTTTTTTTTGTTTGTATAATGAAGCCTAACACACAGCAAACAGGTTATCATCAATATTTTTAATAACGATAGACATATAAGCTGAAAGTCACAAGATATAATGCTCATCTAGAGATATTCTGAAAATATTACCAACGTTAATTGGTTAAGACCAACTTCATTGTAAAAACAATAGAAAAATTAAAATTAATGGTGAAAGATTGATGAATATCAAAGAGCCCATATTAATATGTGCAATCCAGTCTCCCACGTTGATCTTCAGGTTCCTTCAAACCACCATAGTTATTATCTAACTGATTCCTCACTTATTAAAGTGTTACCAATTTGCTGCTGGTATCATGTTTATGAGTACAGTTCCACTCACTCTAGCTGATGTTTGTCTCCTTCACTCCTTTGCCCCATTGTGTTTTCGATCTCAGAGTGTGAAAAGATCACTGATGAAGTAAATTGAAGCAAAGAACAGGTTGATGGTGAGGAGCTACACAAAGAATTCTTTGGAATAAAGAATCAACTCTGGTTAAAAATGTAACAAGAGTCTGGTTTATATATGATTCATTGTATACAGCAGTTTTAACCCTTCCTACTTACTGTTATAATCAAATGACACTGGGATCCTCTTCTGGAGATTACAGCCTGTGTTAGTAGCAACTTAAATTTCTAAGTTCTGGTCTTCAGGACTGGCACAAGGTCTTGGTCAAGAGGACTCAGCAAATGATGTGGATTCCAGTAGCAATATGTGGGGACTCTTCAAGTTGTACAAACCTCCAGGTTATATGGAGTCCTGTATCTAGCAGGTGTGTGGGTGATGGGGGTTTGCGGTTTGAGTGTATTTCACCATTAGCATCAACTTTTTTCTAAAATCCCATATTTTCAAAATATGTTTGAGTAATTTTCCAATTTTTGAGAGTGGTC